AAAATCACAGATACAAGGTTGTGATTATTTACTGCAAAAGAAAAAGCAACACTTTTGGAAAAAAAGCCTGTCAGATTTAATGGAATTGGAATACCTCCCATGAGACTTATAGCAAAATTTATGTGCATGTTTGAATCTTTACTGTCATATTCACATTTGGCATATGTGTGATCTGTGTATGATACCAGTAATTTTTTTATCACAGTACTGTAGCTCTTAATCCTAATCTCACAGAGCTATTATGAGAATTTACTAAAATTTATTTAGATGTAAAATTCAAAATATAATACATATGTCAATCATCTTAGTATGACAAGTTATGTCACTTAGATTTTAAAAGGAAGTACATTTTACTTTGGATAGGAGAAAAGCCAAACACCCAAACACAATAAACACAAGTAGTATATACTTTGACCATATGCCTCGTATCTGACAGAGAATTCTATAGCTACATTACACAAACCAATTAAAATTTGCAAACCATAGTAATTTATTATGAAAACAATTGCAAAATTTACACAAAATATAATATATTGTGGATGGCGTTGCTCATAGTTCATTCAACATCTCCTAACAAAACTAGTAAAAGTTAGCTAATAAAAAGAGGGTAGTTTAGAAATTATTTTTTTTCTATTAACATTAAAGCTTTGTAAACAATCTTATTCTGTTTAACATTTTGCTTTGGTTTTCTGGTTCTTTTATTTTGAGGCATAGTCTTGCTATGTAGACTATGCTGACAACATACCTTCAATAATCCTTCTGCCTTTGCCTCCCTAACAAAGAGATTACAGACACGTGACTTCATGCGTGGCCTATTCCACATCTTCTCAATGATTATCAATGGAATAATTATGGAACATTTACCTTGTACAAAAATTATTTTGTTTTTGCGCTCTTGTTTCTTAGTGTTTGCATTTTATTTTAATATTTTTTCAGATATTTATATTTTCTGCAACTGTCCTATGGTTGTACATAAAATATGTTAAATAAAGTTATGAGGTATATTGTAAATAAAATCTACCAGTACTCACAAAGTTTTAAGGACAAAATATAGATTGAAGCCATGAAACTATCTATATACACATACATACACATACAAAAAAACTTTTCTTTAAAAAGTCACAAAATATATTCAGAAATAGATACATTACAAAATGTAAAAGAAACCCAAAACCAAAAACCCTAAAAAATACCTGTTCCACAATACTATAAATGGAAGAGACATAAGTGAGCCTACAAAAATGACCTTATGCAAGATATGGTAGTACAATAGTGGCACTAATCTTGTGCAAGTAAACAATCAATATCTGATTGGACTTATGTCCCACTCCCAAAGTAAGAATCCATGCCTGACATTTCTAAAGTGGTGAAGAACTTGGGACCATAAACCCCAGGGACCTAGGGTGAAACAAAATACTACAGTTAAGATAAAAGCATATAGCAATAAAATTATTCTTAATGATAATCTGCTATCATCATAGATCAATGCCTGGTCAGTCATTATCAGAGAAACTTCTACCAGCAATAGATGGGAAAAAATGCTGAGATCCACAGCAAGACAAACTAGACAGAATGGGAGAATTTGGAAAGTCCTAAATGGGATGTCTCCATCAAATACCTCCTCTCAGGGCTCAGGTCACTTTGAGGAATAGGGGGCAAAAAAAATTGTAAGAGTCAACGATGGAAAACATCAAGAAAACAAAGCCTTCTACACACCACAGGGCTGAGGCACATATGAACTCACAGACACTGAAGCAGCATGCTTAGGGCCTGCATGAATCTGTACCAGATGGGGTCCCAGTGCTAAGTCCAGAAGCAGACAAAAGCACCCACCCCTAATCCAGAAGCTTTGTCCAACTGCTAGCTTCCCAGAAATGGAAAAGTAATTTTCTCCACCAGGGTCAGTCTGAATATCCAAAGCACCCTTGATAGCAGGCCCTACACCCAGCACAAGATGACAAGCAGAAAAAAAATCTTTGGAGGGTTTTTGTAGTATAATGTTTAGTCAGGGCATTTAATAATTTTATTTTTTATTTTATTTGTTTTTTCTTCCTTACATGTCCTTTGAATATACATTATGGCCCCCAGTTTTGTGTTTTTATGAAATTTCTCTGTGGGAAAGAGTATGTGACTCTGCCTCTATATATGTTTTTTCTGTGCTTTTTCTTTTGCCGTTATTCGTCTGTCTGTTTTGTCCTATTATGATTTGTTTGTTCATTGTTAATCTTATTATTATTTTTTCAGATGCCTAATTTTTTTCTAAAGAGAAACTGAAAAGGGGGTGGATTAGGGTGTAATTGGTGGTGGGAAGAATCTCAGAGGAGTTGGAGGAGGAAATGTCATATTCAGAATATATTGTATGAAAAATAAATTTCAATAAAAGAAAATTAAATTAAGAAAAGACACAACCAAGAATGTTATATATACTTACTGAAATGACTAAACAAACCTGAGCAGTACAGGGCTTCCAGTTTTGGCCAGTTGTATCACCCAGACAAAGTATGAAAAACAAAGTAATGGAAAATTTGTTTCTCTATAAAATATATCTACGTTCATTGTAATCATAGGGAAGAACATAAGACTAATTCTGGATTAGTTGCAAACTTTAAAAAAGTAAGCAAATACTGGATTATTAACACTTATAATTATATATTTAAATTAGAAACAAGCTTGTGTCCCATGTCAGTCTCAGTTGCTCTCTTTCTCCTCCATGCCTGCTCCCATCCAATACCCATTCCATTCACCAGAGAGGATAAGGCCCTCCATGGGGGATATTTAGAGTCTATCTTTTTGTTCCCGGGAGGGCCCAGGCCCTTCCCAAAGTGGCTCGATTGAGAGAGTATCCCTCATTGTGGGATGGGCACCCAAAGTCCATTTGTGTGCCAGGGATAAATACTGATCTACTACTTAAAGCCCCATAGATTGCCTGAGTCTCCTCAATGATACCCACATTCAGGGGGTCTGGATCTGTCTTATGCTAGCCACTCAGCCATCAGTCTGAGGTCCAAGAACTCCTCCTTGTTCATGTCTGTTGTTTCTATGGGTTTCACCAACCCAGTCTTGACCCCTTTCTCATCACTCCTCCCTCTCTGTCACTGGGCTCCATGAATTCAGTTCAGTGTTTAGCTGTGGATGTCTTCCTCTGCTTCTTTCTGTCACAGGATGGAGGTTCTAGGATGGAATGAAAGACAGTTGTCAAAATCATTGTTAGGGAGGGGCATTTAAAATAGACTCTCCACTACTGTTTTGTTTGCCAATTGGTGTCATCCTTGTATATCTCTGAAGATCTCACTAGTGCCTGATCTCCCCTCAAATCTAGAACGGCTCCCTCTACTATGGTCTCTCTCATCCTGCTCTCCTGAATTCTTCACCCAATTCATCCTTCCCGCTCTCCCATGTCCTCCTCTTCCTTCCTCTTCTCTACTTTTCTTTTTTCTGGCTCCCTTCCACCACCCCATACTCCCAGTATGCTCAGATCTTGCCTCATTTCACCTTCTTTCGGGTACCATGTATATCTCTCATAGGGTACTTCCTGTTTCCCCGACTCTCTGGTACTGGGATTGTAGGCAGGTACTCCCCTGATTCATGTCTAAAATAGAAATATGAGTGAGTGCATACAAAGTTTGTCTTTTATGACTGGATTACCTCACTCAGGATGATTTCTTCTAGTGCCATGCATTTGCCTGCAAATATCAAGATTCCATTGTTTTTTTTTTCCCACTGAGTAGTACTCCATTGTGTAAATGTACCACATTTTCTCTATCCACTCTTCAGTTGAGGGGCATGTAGGTTGCTTCCAGGTTCTGGCTATTACAACTAATGCTGCTATGAACATAGTGGAACAGATGTACTTGTTGTATGAATGGGCAACTTTTGGATATATGCCTAAGAGTTGAATTGCTGGATCTTGTGGTAGACTGATTCCAATTTTTCTGAGGAATCTCCATACTGAATTCCATAGTGGCTGCACGAGTTGGCACTCCCACCAGCAGTGGAGGAGTGTTCCCATCTCTCCACATCCTCTCCAGCATAAACTGTCATTTGAGTTTTTCATTTTAGCCATTCTGACAGGAGTAAGATGGTATCTCAGAGTTGTTTTGATTTGCATTTCCCTGATGGCTAAGGATGTTGAGCACTTTCTCAAGTACTTCTCAGACTCCTCTATTAAGAATTCTCTATTTAGTTCTGTACCCCACTTTTTAATTGGATCCTTTGGTGTTTTGGAAACTTGCTTCTTGAGTTCTTTTTAAATTTTGGAGATCAGTCCTTTGTCAGATGTGGGGTTAGTGAATATCTTTTCCCATTCTGTGGGCTGTCTTTTTGTCTTGTTGACTTTGTCCTTTGCCTTGAAGAAGCTTCTCAGCTTCAGCAGGTCCCATTTATTAATTGTTGATCTCAGTGTATGTGCTACTGATTTTATGCACAGGAAGCAGTCTCCCATACCAATTCATTCAAGGGTACCTCCCAATTTCTCTTCTAACAGGTTCAGTGTGAATGGATTTATGTTGAGGTCTTAAATCCATTTGGACTTAAGTTTTGTGCATGACAATAGACATGTATCTATCTGCAGTCTTCTACATGCCAGTGTCCAGTTATGCCAGCACCAGTTGTTGAAGATGCTGTCTTTTTTCCATTGTATAATTTTAGCTTTTTTTTCAATAAACCAAGTGTCCATATGTGTATAGGTTAATACCAGGGATTTCAATTAGATTCCATTGGTCTACCTGTCTATTTTTGTGCCAATACCAAGCTGTTTTCAGGACTATAGCTCTATAATAGATCTTGGAGACATGGGTGGTGATGCCTCCTGATGTTGCTTTGTTGAGCAGGATTGTCTTGGCTATTCTGGATTTTTTTGTATAAAGGTGAGAGTTGTTCTTTCATGTTCTGTGAAGAATTGTGCTGGGATTTTGATGGGGATTGCATTGAGTCTGTAGATTGCTTTTTGGTAGGATTGCCATTTTTGCTACATTGATCCTACCTATCCAAGAGCATGGGAGAAAAATATGAAACACTTCAAGAACTTGTGTGTCATCCTTGTGCAGGAGCCATGCTATTCTTCTCTGTATCGTTTCAATTTTAGTATATGTGCTGCTGAAGTGAGAACAGATGAGATCTTAAGACATTTGAAAACTCAAGATGATTCCCCTTTAAGTAAAGAACCAAATAAAGTTTATTAGAATTATAATTTTCAAACCAATGGAATGGGAAAATTAATTCACTCACTACAAGTTCATGGAAAGATGGTTTATAAAGTCATAAACTGTATATTTTTACTCATTCTTGCATACACTAACCTTTAGACTCTCAAAAATAAAAGTGGGAGAAGAGAAATAATATATTCCCAGACAGGGTGAGTGAAAAATTATATGAGCAAGGATTATGGTTTGAGCCCCAACTCTGAAAGAAAAATCCTCCCCACAGATATAATTAGTGTCTTATACATAGATATAGATGGTTTATAAACCACCAGCCTACAATCCCATGACCAGAGAGTCTGAGAAACAGAACCTTCATTCAATGGCTGATGGAAGCAGAGGCAGACTCCCACAGCTAAACACTGAGATGAACTCAAGGTATCCAGTGACAGAGAGGGAGGACTGCTGATCAAAGGTGTTGGGACTGGGCTGGTTTAACCCCCAGAAACAGCTGACCTGACAGGGTTTAGCTCTTGAATCCCAGACTGATGGCTGAGATTCCAGCATGGGACTGACCAAGTCCCCCCTGAAAGTGGGTGTCAGTGAGGAGGCCTAGGTAATCTATTTATCCCTGGTATACAAATCGACTTTGGATGCCCATCCAATAATGAGAGAGGCACTCTCACCCTGGACTCCCAGGGGAGGGTCTAGGCCCTGCCCTGGATGAAATGACCGACTATAGACAACCCCATGGAGGGCCTCACCCTCCCTGGGGAAATGAGGGGATATTGGAGGGGTTGGTGGGAGGGGGTGGGAGGAGGGGAGGGAAAGGGAGAGGGAACTGGAATTGATATTTGAAGCAACCTTGTTTCTAATTTAAATTTAAATTTAAAAATAAAAATTAAAAAAGAAGTGTTCTAAAAGTTACATAAATCATTTATAGGACAGCATTTTTAATATCATCTATAGTTTTGTGTTTGTCAGAACAAAATAAAATGAATAAAAGAAATCACATCAAAACTAAAACAATAGTGAAAAACCATTTTTTTCCTGAATTCAGATTTGCTTATTTTACCATTTGGCATTATGATGGTGGAGTAGATTTAAATTTGATATGTCTGTCCTTTTTCAAAAAGTTTGTTTTCCTCTGCTCTCACTGTTTGCAAACAGCACTCAGACCTGTTATTGCCAATTTGTCACAAAAAGTTAACAGTAATATTTATTCTTCTTTGGCAGAGAATTATTCATGAAAAATGAATTTATCCTAGTAGTATTGACTTTACATAAACATTTTTCTTAATGACATGTGACACTCTGAACAATATGCATTTTTTCATGTGACAAAAGCAATTATTAGGAAGACATCTAGCAGACTTTATGTCCATTTCAAAGAAAACTGCTTAATTATTTTCATTCTCTAAAAATGTAAAGTGGGGCTGGAATGGGAAAGGGGATGAAATAATTAAGAATAAATGACTTACCAAATCACTAAAAGAAAAATATTGCCCTTTGTAAAGATTGTTCTGCCTTGCTTTATAAGTGCGTTCATAAATTCAGACTAGACTTGAAATGCTAACCTGGTAATAAGTATTGCAATAAATATCCTCTTCATGGAAATATGTAATAGATTTTTTTATTACAAATAGAGAAGCAATAAGTAAAATGTTAGAAACCTGCACCCAAGTTAAAACCAAGTAAACAATATACTCATAAGTAGTTCAGAGAGACAGAACAACAGGGGGGGTATACAACCTCCAGTAGGCAATTCAAAATAGTAAAACTTGGAGAGTTGCCTAATAATGTTTATTACTCTTCTTACCAAATCACCATATATCCAAGAGTATTCAGTTACCACTTACATAATACTTCCATGAATTTAATCAGAGTCATAATGTCAATTAGGAGTAAATATAGTTTTAAAATAGATTTTCAAAAGGATTGCTTGAAAACCTCACCATTTGTCCATTTTAAATGTGAGCTATGATGGAAATTTATTCACTTCCCTCTACCCTTTTTTGTTATGTTTCCTTAAAAGGAAAAGTAGACATATTAAATGATGACATTTTTTTCAAAACTCAGCCACACAGAATCTCTGAGAAGAGAAAGTGGGAGTACCCACGAAGGAATATGCACAGGACACCACATCCTGAACATAATGCCCGCAACAAAGACACTGAGATTGACAATAAATAAATGGGATCCCCTGAAACTGAAAAGCTTCTGCAAGGCAAAAGACAGTCAACAAAACTAAAAGGCAGCCTACAGAATGGGAAATGATCTTCACCAACCCCATATCTGACAGAGGGCTGATTTCCAAAATATACAAAGAGCTCAAGAATCTAGTCACCAAAACACCAAATAATTCAACTAAAAAGTGGAGTACAGAACTAAACGGGGAATTCTCAAGAAACAAATCTAAAATGGATGAAAAACACTTAAGAAATTGATAAACATCCTTAGCCATCAGATAAATGAAAACAACTCTGAGATATCATCTTACAGCTGTCAGAATGGCTAAAATCAAAAACACCAATGACCTCTCCAGTCTGTGCTGGAGAGGATATGGAGAAAGGAGAATCCTTCTACATTGCTGGTGGGAGTGCAACTTTGTACAGCCAATTAGGAAATCAGTATGGATGTTTCTCTGGAAAATGAGAACCAGTCCACCTCAAGATTCAGCAATTCCAATCGTAGGCATATACCCAAAGGATGCAAATTCATACAACAAGGACATCTTTGTTGATATAAGCTTGCTATAATTATAACAATTAAAGATTTTTTTAGGTTTCTTTTTTTATTTCGAGCTTGCTTCACATGTCAATCCCAGCTCCCTGTCCTCCTCCACCTCACCCCCTCCAGCTACCGCAGGCCTCCACCCAATCCCCACTCGAATCCCCAGGGAGGGTGAGACCATCTGTGGAGGATCCCCAGATTCTGCCATGGCAGGGCCCAGGTCCTTCACCAAGAGATTAGGCTGAGAGAGCATCCCTCAGTGTAGGAGGGACACCCAAAATCCATCTGTATGCCTGGGACAAACACCAATCTATTGCCCAAGTCCCCACAGATTGTACAGGCCTCCTCATTGACACCCACATTCAGGGTGTCTGAATCAGTCCCATGCTGGTCTGTCAGCCATGAGACAGGGGTCCAAGAGCTCCCCCTTGTTCAGGTCAGCTGTTTCTGTGGGTTTCACCAGCCCAGTCTTGAACACTTTGCTCATCAGTGCTCCCTCTGTCACTGCGTTCCAGGAGTAAGTTCAATGTTTAGATGTGGGGGTCTGTCTCTGCTTCGGTAAGTCACTGGATGAAGGTTCTAGGATGGCATATGAGGAAGTTATCAAATTCATTATCAGGTATGGGCATTTAATGTGGTCTCTACACTATTGCTTAGTTTGTCAGTTGGTGTCATCCTTATAGATCTCTAGAAACCTCACTAGTGACAAGTCTCTTCTCAAACCTATAATGACTCTGTCTATTATGGTATCTCTCATCTTGTTCTCCTCTATTCTTCCCCCATCTTAATCTTCCTGCTCCCCCATGTCCTCCTCTCCTCTCCTAATATCCTCTGCTCCTCTTCCTGGCTCCCTCCCTGCCCCCATTCTCCCATTCTTCTCAGGAGGTCTTGGCTCATTCCCCTTATCTTGGGTACCATGCATATCCCTCTTAGGGCCCTACCTGATTCCCAGACTCCCTGACGGTTGGATTGCAGACTGGTATGCCCCTGAGCCATGACTAAAACCCATATATGAGTGAGTACATACAATGTTTGTCTTTTTGTGAATGGATGACCTCACTCAGGATGGTTTCATATAGTACCATCAATTTGCAGCAGATTTCATGATTCCATTGTTATTTTCTGATGAATAGTAGTTCATTGTGTAAATGTACCACATTTTCTCTACTGAGGGGCATCTAGGTTGCTTCCAGGTTCTGGGTATTATAAATAATGCTGCTTTGAACATAGTAGAACAGACATCCTTGTTGCATGAATGTGCATCTTTTGGGTATATGCCAAAGAGTGGAATCACTGGGTCTTGTGGTAGATAGACTCCCATTCTCCTGAGAAATCTCCATATTGACTTCCAAAGTGACTGTACAAGTTGGTACTTCCACAAGCAGTGGAGAATTGTTCTCCTTTCTCCACATCCTCTCCAGTATAAATTGTCATTGGAGTTTTTGATTTTAGCCATTCTGACAGGAGTGAGATGTTATCTCAGAGTTGTTTTGATTTGCATTTCCCTAACGGCGAAGGATGTTGAGCACTTTCTTAAGGGTCTTTCAACCATTTTAGCCTCCTCTATTGAGAATTCATTTTTAGTTCTGTAGCCCACTTTTTAATTGGATCCTTTGGTGATTTGGAGACTTATTTGTTGAGTTTTTGGAAATTTTGCAGATTAGCCCCCTGTGGGATATGGGGTCTGTGAATATCTTTTCCCATTCTCTGGGCTGCCTTTTTTCTTGTTACCTGTGTCCTTTGCCTTACAGAAGCTTCTCAGTTTCAGGAGGTCCAATTTGTTAAGTGTTGGTCTCAGTGTCTGTACTACTGGTCTTATGTTCAGGAAGTGGTCTCCTGTACCAATTTGTTCAAGGGTATCTCCCGCTTTCTCTTCTAAGAAGTTAAGTGTGGCTGGATTTATGTTGAGGTCTCTTATCCATTTGGACTTCAGTTTTGTGTATGGCGATAGACATGTATCTATCTGCAGTCTTCTACATGCCAAGATCCAGTTATGCCAGCACCATTTATTGAAGGTACTTTATTTCTTCCATTGTATAATTTTAGCTTCTTTGTCAAAAATCAAGTGGTTTTGGTGTGTGGGTTTACAGCAGGGACATCAATTCGATTCTATTCGTCTACTTGTCTATTTATTTTCATGCCAATACTAAGCTATTTTTAGGACTATAGCTCTATAATAGAGCTAGAAGTCAGGGATGTTGATGCCTCTGGAAGTTCCTTTATTGTACAGTGTTGT